TATCCTACAAATTTTTAGTCAGTGAAAGAAACAAAACAATTTTGACAGGAATGCTTTGTGGGAAGATGATAGGAAACCGAGATGCCTACCTGCTTCTCTTTATTATTCTGCTTTCCCTTCTAAGAAGCTTCCAGTCATATTCCTCCCTGGAAGGTGGAGGAGGGACACCTTTTACTTACTAAGCCCTTTATGAAATTCTCAAAATCAACTCACATGGCAAATTAGAACAGAAAGAACCAGACAGCTTAGTAAATTACTCATGTAAGATAATCAGAAAGTAGTACTGAAATCCATGTGTCCTGCTCTAACTATGCTCTGGCTACCTTCTTATGAATTCTGTTGCTGGATGGTAGGCTTTCCACATCAGTCTCCTTCACTGGGTTTGGAGTTCCTCCAGGCAACCACTATGTCTTCAGTGTACACATTAGGCATTCTACAGATGTCAGTTTCTTTCTCTCCCTTTCCTTCCCCTAGCTGTCAACTAAAGGCAGGCTTAAATATATGATCTAATGAAGTGCTTTGCATTCTCTGTAACTCAAAGATACATTAATGTTTATACCCACTTGATTGCATTGAAAAGACACAGGTGCATATGACATGAATAATGTAAAGCACTGTGTACAAGTGCTCACATGGGCAGTAGAAGAAAAGAGACGAAGACTGAAATAGATACGACAGAAACAAGATTCTCTGAAACAGGAAAGATTTGTTTTTTGAGACAAGGTCTCCCTCATGGCTCAGGTTAACCTCAAACTCATTATGTAGCACAGGATGGCCTTGAACTCCCAATCCTCTTGCCTTGGCCTCCTGAGTGCTAGGATTACAGGTGTGCACCACCATTCCCAGCAAGAGCAAGGATCTTGATATGTTAAGGATGGATAGGATTTGGATCTTAATTTGTTCTTCAGATAACAAACCTTCTTCTGTTGTATGGCAGGCCTGGTGCTGGAAAGTGGGGAAGGTTGAGGAATCGGGATAAATAAATTAGTAGTAGTCTAGGCAAGAGTATTTGGGAATAGAACCTAGTGCCTCCTGGAAGGAGTAAAACAGCTCTCACAGAATCAGAGCTATCACACAAAGAACATTGACCTATTGAAAGATCAGGCGGTGGGAAGAACTGATTTTTCTTCTCCCAAAGAGTATTTTTAGGTGTGATGAATGCGGGATAGATGCCAATTGCCAACAATATGTATCTCATTTAGATTCACCCTCTGCAATACTCCAGTCTTTGGAAGAAAGTCATTTAGTGTCAGAGAGACACAGCTTTTCCTGGAGATATTCCAGTTTTGAGTTAATTAATCTCACTTCTGAAGCTGTGAAATCTGAACATACCACACAGGTCCAGAGGAGTCTGGAAAGAAAACATTTTGACTCAAAAAGATGACATTACTAAAAAGATGTGTACATAATCAGCAGGCAGGGCTCAATCCGTTCTAATAAGGACTTAGTCACAGTGTAAACATTAGGTTATGAGGACATTTAGGACCTATGACAACCACTTTTAAAAGCTTTCTTATGTTCTTGGGTGTGTGCTTTGTTTTTGTTTTTGCTACAGAGTCTTGCTCAGTAGCTCAGGCTGGCCTCTATATAGATAAAGCTGACATTGATCTCATGGTCCTCCTGCCTCAACCTCCCAAATATTGTGATTACAGGCATGTGTCACCACACTTGACAGATTTCTTAGTTTTTTGTGCCACCTGAGTTTTTTCAGTCTTCTTAATGGCATATTTTGATTCTTTGAAGTTTCCAGGGCTGCTGTACATGCCTAGCAACTGTTTTTAATTCTTGTATGATGTAGGCTTGCTGTTACAGCTAGGATTGTGAAGTATATCCAGTTTTTGGTGCAGATTCCTCATAGTGGAGAGCCTGGAAGCCAGAGAGGCATGTGTCTCACATTTAGTGGTACAGCTTATATTAAGATCCTGTCCTCATGAACAGTATTCCAGACAATCAAGGTTTGTTGTGTCTTATTTTTGAGAGAGGAGCTTGCTGTATTACTGAAGCTGGTTTTGAAGCACTGGGCTTATAGGATCTTCCTGCCACAGCTTTCTGTACATCAAGGTTTAAACTGGACATGTTGGCACTTCCAAAGAATATTTCTGTAAGGAATCACAGAGCATGTGTGGATAACTGGCTGCCTCTGAGAAGGGGAAATTAGTGCCCAGGGAACATGGTTAAGGAGACTTAATAATCACTGAAAACCTTTTTGAACCTTTTGAATTTTATACAATATATGTTGTTACCTCATCAAAAAGAAATGACTTATTTTTAAGAACTCAATGGAGTCCTAAATATCTATTGCTTTGTTTCCCCTTTTCTCATATTTGTGTAAAACACTTTTTTCCTGATTTAAGATATCCCCACATGCAAATTATTATACAGAAGATGGTTAAACACCTTGAAAGTGGGATGCCAGTTGGTTACTACTTTGTGGCTAAAACAATAGCTTCCTGAACCTCAAGCCAATGCTATTCCAGAGTCCCAATTTCTTGCCAACTTTGACTGTGGCAGAATCTGGCTGGATAAAACCCAAAGAAACACAAATCAATTAGGATCCAGTGATTTCATTCACTTTAGAGCAAAATAGAGTCATTAACAAACCTGGATGGGAAGGTCTCCATTAGCCAATACTATCGTTTTCCCAAAATAACAGAAAATGCAAAGGCAGGGATCCAACATAATTCACCAGTAAGCGCTGTCAATGGGAGGAACCTCCTACTAGAAGATGGACCTGGCTGCTGCTCCTTGACCCCAAGAAACTGTTGCCAGATAGAGGAGATGAAATGCCTGTGTCCAGAGGGCAGTGTAACAATGGAAAAGCTAACCATTTGCTGGAGCTTTCCCAAACAGAGGATTATACAAAAAGATACTGATGTATTTCATGGGGATTTAATGTTATCAAGCCAGAGAACTTGGCTTAAGTTTACCAAGCTAATTTTTCTGTTTGGATTTTTTTTTTTTTTTGAGTTGGTGCTTTGCTATGTAGTTCAGGCTGGCCTTGAACTCATAGTGATCATCCTGTCTCAGCCTCCTGAATGATGCTGGATTACAGGCGTGCACTGACACACCTGACCTTTGGTTTGGATTTTAAACTCCAGTTAAAATTGGAAACTGCTAATGTGTTAGACTTAATAAAGAAAATAATTATAATCCTGTCATTTCCTGTGCTGTACTCACTACTTCACTAGGTATTGAGGCCCTACTTGTGTACTTGCCATTAAAGGGAATACAAGAGAGAGATTTTTACTTTTAGGTATTTATCTCTATATACCTACCTAATTATGTGTACAGAAGTATTTGTTTAATGGCTGTTAAGCTGCTAAAGTCTACAGTTGTCCTTTTAGTCTACAGATTTTCCAAATGATGCCCTTCAAACAATATAATGCTGCCATTCATTATATGTTAACTGTATGTCAGACACTATGGTAAGTGCTTTATATGAACTACTTAGTTCTCACATCAACCCTGTAAGTTCCTTACAAAGGTTGAAAAGAGCCTCACAGAAGATAATTTGTGCTAATTCACACGTGGAGCAAGGACTCAGATCCAGGATATTCGTTCAACAAGTATATAATGACTGTTTATATGCCAGACTTGCAGGGTAGAGAACAAACACTGCTAGTCCCAGCCCTCTTGAAGATTTGGAAGTGTTTTGTTTTGAGATGGGAGTCTCACAATGTTGTCCAGGCTGGGCTCAAACCCGTGGGCTCAAAGGGACTCCCAAGTAACTGGGACTATAGTCACCCTACACAGAAATCTTTATTTCCCTAGCATGTTAGGCAAGAGCTCTACAACTTAGCTATGTATCTCCTGGCTCTGGAAGACTTCGATTCCCAAGTTCACAGTTTTTACATTGACTTTAAATTGTTTCTCATGATCAGTGAAAAGGGGAGTTATGCTTTTATCTTAAGAGAAAGCTGGCACAGTGGCGCATACCAGTAGGTGGCATAATATGAGACAGGAGGATGGTAAGTTTGAGCCCAGCCTGGGCAATGGAACGACTTAGCAAGATCCTGTCTCTAAATAAAAAAATAAAAAGGCTGGGTATGTAGCTCCATGGCAAGGCCTTTGGCTCTGTCCCCTGTACCAGAAAGGAAGGGGATGGGAAAGGGCATAGCGAGAGAGCATCAAGCTGGTATCCTGAAGGAATCTAGCCAGCTGTCTTTGTTCTTCAGTCTTCCTTTCCTTGTGCTTTATAAAACCAAACTTCTGCTGCACACGATAAATTCTATGCCGAGCATTCTGTAAGCACAAAAGACCTAGGTTCCAGTCCTAGCTAGGTCATTTACCTAAGCTGTCTGACGTTGGGCAAATGATCCATCTGAGCTTTACTTTCCCATCTGACAAATCATTGTTATTTCGTGTATTTGTAGGGAGAATTAGTTGAGATGATGAACCTACTACATAATATAGTTTCAAAAGACACTGGCGTTTTAAAAAGAATTAGGAAGCACAAGATAACCTTAAAGTCACGTTATGAAGGCGTGTCTTGGTGCTTCCACTAGCATTCTATTTGTACAGTTTTGTACAAATCTCTGTTAAAGGTGCACGCAGTCTGATTGATCCTTGTGTTTGGGGACGTCGTATGTGTTCACTGAATGTTAGTTGCATCAGTGAATGAACGAACAAACTGAAAGCTAGGTCCCGCTCAGTGAATGACAAGGCTATTCAAAATACAGAACATCTATCCAGTACCCTTGTGAACTTTCTCTTCGCTTCTTAAAGTTTCAACTTAAAACTGCAAATGAACATAAGGTCACTCCAGGCCTCGATACGTAGTTCTCAGGATAGATAGAGCGCTGGCTATGAAAGGCTTCGGAAAAGGAACATCCCTACAAAGTTGTAGGGCTTTTTATCAGGAACCGCCCTTGCCCAAACCAAGAGTCGCAGGCACCGCGTACCAGATCGGCCCTCTCTTCCTGGTTTTCCCCGGCATCCCGCCCCTCTGGTGTCATGTGACAAGGGTGCTATGCCAGGCTAAGCCCCTGATTGGCTGAGCTGTAGAACGCCTCCCGATTGGCCAGAGTCCGTCGGCCCCCGCCTTCCTCCTCCTCCTTGCCGCGGCCCACGTGAGGGGGGAGAGTCACGCGATTTCCGGGAACCCGTCAGGAAGGACATAAACAAAACAAACCCAAGGCAGCATGGAGAGGGGCCGCGGCCCCTGCAACGCAATCGGACCCAGCCCCTGAGACGACCCCGCACCTACAGGTAAGCGTCGCTGCTCACTGCCCGGAGTTCGCAGGGACCTGGACTGGGGTGCCAGCCGAGCGGCGGGCGGAGGAGGGCCGCTGGCCCATGAGGTAGCACGGCCGGAGC